AAAGTGTAAAATATTAATAAAATATTTATTAACTTACTAATAAATTTATTTATTTTAATAAAAATCTAAAAATAAAATGATTCATTTCGAAAAGAATTATAGAAAAAGAAAAAAAGGACGAAATCCAATTATTAAAACTTCTAAAATGAATAAATTCTTAAGTTTTAAGTGAGAAATTTAAAATGTAATTATATAATAACTATAATGAAAGATACTTGTTTCATTAAAATGAAACAAGTAGATTAATAAAGTCGAGATCTTGTAGATAATTTATACGAGTTTAATTTTCGGTCTCAATCGAAAGAACTACATCAACCAGTTTTGATATTCTTTAACTAGTTGTCTAGTACAGCCAATGTTCCCCCCTTTTCTTTTTTTGGCTTCAGGCACCTTTATTGGAGAACCGGTCGAGGTGCAACTGAATGGGAATCGTTTTCAAAAGCGTTTACTCGATACATACTTCATATAACATTTTTAAAAAATATATCATATTTTTAATATTTCAATTCTTTATAACGGATTTACACGCGTGGTCCTAAGCTATAGCACCCTTCTTTACTTTCCAACAAATAATAAATTTAAAATGTGGGGCCCTAAATTGTCTCGTAGCTTGAGGCCCGAAGCTTTTTCTTCTCTCCTGTAAACGTACCTCTAGCACCTTCATTAAAGATGATAGAGGCCCTAAGCTGTTTAGCTTACATTTAAATTTCTCTCTTCTTCATCGAGTTAATTTGCAAATATATTTTGTATTCATTTATTAAATGCTTTAATCAAATAGCGTGAGATTTTTCTATATATTAACATCGATAATTTATTTATTTTTTAATCTAATTATAAAATTATACAATAAAAATAGGTTATAATATTTGTATTTATTTAATATTACAAAAAAAAAAGAAAAACGTCCGTAACAATTCTACGATAAAGGATAATATTATCGTAACGAAGAAGATTTTGTTAGTGTAAAATTAATTGCAAGTGTAATTAAAACAAGAATGAAAACAAACGTATCCATAGGAGATGAAGATAATAAAGATCACTGCATGCATTAAACAAAATGAAAACGAATGAGAATTTTAAAAAAATTTGAAAATTTAATTGATAAATTAGATTTAAACCTAACCCAATTTCATTTATTTTTTTATCTACCAACCTATAGAATTATTTTAATCTGGGTAAATAACGTGATCCAAGCAACCGAAGTTCGTATTTGTTTCTGCATGATCTCCAAATGGGCTCCAATGCGCATGCGTCATCGTGCCCGTCTGGAAACAGAGAGGCATCCACTTCCTAGCGTCAACCGTCTTTTCTTTTTCTGCCGGTTCATATATTAACTGCGACATTTTAGTTGAGAGAAGAGAGAAATTATAACACGTAAGTGAATTATTAAACTACGTAACGCTTCTTTCTTATTCGATCTATCTACTTATGTGACAAAAATTCTTTCCATTATGCTACGGCAAGCATGCCTGTTAGCATGCCTCTGTCAAATATACAAAGCCGCTCTTTGCTGCATTTGCTATAAATCTAAATATTAAAATAAAATATATCAGTTTTAATGTGTATAAATCTCGTGTTATCAGCAACAATGCGAACCAGTTTTGATTTATGATATGTGGAAACGAAAGATTTAAATAATAATAATAATAAAGAAATTTATATCGTAGAAATGGCATCTACCTTGTTTACATAAATTTCCCATATTTAACCTCGTGTATTTTACTAATTGCAAGAAATTCATCCAGGTCGTGTTTTGATCTGTTAATTCCCTTCATACCCTCGTGCGTCACCCTGTTTGATGACTCATTGTCTACTGCTGAACCACCGGACCAGTATCAATCGATGCTTGCTCGTCTGGTCCCCAGTTTCCCGAATTAAATAAATTCGAAATTGTTGTTAAACGTGGATTTCTAAAAATATAGATCCTCCTTCTTCCTTAATCTTAATGTTTATGCGTCTCGCAACATGTTAACTGTATTTCTAAATCAATACCATTTGCGTAAAATATGCCTGTGTTGTAATAAACCTTAAATCTGCACAAATGCTACACTATTAAATACATTAGCCAATATTAAAAACTGGGAGATTTTATTAACTAATTTAGTGAAGGTGTTTAAATCGTGCTCTTTTAGGAATTTTTTAATGAAATGCGAGAAGACGGCCATCCAATTATTATTACTGTATTTTGAACTTGCATCGTACTATATCGGAATAAATTGCATATTACTTTATTGATATATATATATTTTTTAAATTTTAAATATTTTTATTCTAAATAAATGCTTATTTATTTAATTATTTTTACACCTAATATTTTAAGTTTTAAATTTTAACTTTAAGTAGAGGCGTATCCAGATGTCATCGTTAGGAGGGCATCGAAAACGCATTTATAAATAAATTTCTTCGTAGATAGGTTTAAAAAAAAGGCTTAAAAATCTAAAGGACTAAGGCTTTGGGAGGCAAATGCCACTCAAAACCTGCTCTTTAGAATCAGAGGTGTATTCAGCAGGAAAATTCCCCTCCTGAATATGTCTCTGATTCCAAAATAAAGATTTATATTAATATATAATACTGTTAAATATTTCGCAATTCGAATTTGTAGGACTTAAATTAAGAAAATCTAAAATGGCTATTTATAAAACAAAATTATAATAAATATATTTTTGTATTTTACGAAGAATTTAAACTATTAAATTATTTATTCGCTATAATTTTAGTCACTTTCAAAATTATAATTTTTACTGAAGACGTTCAAAGAAAGGCTGCGATCAGGACTTTGATCTCAAAATTCTCTAACAGGTCATTAGAACTGGACTAGTAATTTGAGTCGGTTGTTCTGTAGAATTTATTTTTTATTTCATGTTGTAAAGCATTGTGTTTGTATATTTATTTATCTGTTAATTTAAAATAAATTTTCTATCACTATTTCCTGCAAAATAAAAATAAAGGTTCACGAGAATTTATTGAATTTAGCTAATTCGTTCGATTTAAATTCATATGTATGGTAAGAATATTCAGTTGTTTTTATTTAATATTTTTCCATTAAAAAACCTGATAAAATATACGATTTTTCCGAAGACCATTACAAAAATAACACTACGATATCTCGTCTATACGTGACAAAAATACCCGAAACATCAAAGATAGGTAAGAACTGTAAGAACGATTTTTAAAAATTTATCTTCGTACACCACTCTGAGGTTCATTTATAATTGAATGAGGTTAAACTTTATAAAGATAAAAGTATTATTCTCAAAGGTTTCACTTAAAACCTATTATTTTCGATAATAAATTAGAAAATAAACACTAATTACTACTATAATCTTTTTTAAATTATAAAATTTGATACTTAACATCTTTATTTTAGTATTTTGAAGCGGTTAATAAAGGAAATAACAGTATTGAAACATAAAGTAACCATGAGTTTACAGTGCGATTTAAATGAATACTGTATAACAATTAACGTTACTATATTGTGGGCATTTTATATAAAGTTTATTCTTAAAAATTTTTCTTCAAAATAACTTTTTAAATGAATAAAATATATAAATTATCTTGCACATAATTGAAGGCATTTTGCATATATTAAAATCAATTATACAAACGTAGCTTATATAGCCTATATTTTATGTCATGATTTAAATATTGAATTGGTTAAATAGAAATTTAGAAACAACCCCACAACATTATTAATATTAATTATGGAAAAATATAGCGATAGAGAAATATCGATCTCACCACAGCACGCTGTTTTCTAATGGATTAAGCACTTTGGTTTATATGTCCTATCCTGTTTTTCTATCATTTCATCTGGTTTCTAACGATGTTTCGGGAGTTTAAACTTCGAAATTTTTAAATTATATTTATTTTTTATGGCTTTATAAAGACAGTACAATATTAGATTAGGACAAGCGTAAATATTTTAATTAAAAATAATTTTTTGGAGTTTTTATTTACAATAAATATAGTCTGTAATCCTTTAAACGATGACCATTTTTTCAGGAACGTTTTTGAACAAAAATACGTAAAAAAACCTCCAAAGTCTATTTTTTATGTTCCCGTCGTGGTCGTTGTTTAGAGGTTTGACTGTACTTGTATAAACTCATTTAATTATTATTTTTTTCTATTTAAAACCCATTTCATGGTACCATAAATTAACGTTTGAATATTATGTTAAGTTATTAGAGGCAGTATTCAATGGTCTTTCAGGGTTTCAACTTATAAATAAATAAGTAAATAAAATTCTCAAATTGTTTAATTTTACGGTTAAATTGTATTTTATTTTTACATGTTTTTACTCTAAAATTTTAATTTTTAAGCAAGATTTTCTTATATGGTAGATTTATGAAAAGAATGCGAATATTAATAGAATATTTTAATCTAATTTTATACAATCTACAATATTATAGAGGAATATAGAAATATTTCATTACATTATATGCTGTATATATACGATAAAACTCAATGTAATATGAAGTAACTGATAATTTTTAATGGTAAAAATCCTCTTCTCGCTTCTTTTTTCCCCTACGTTCATATCTTCGTATTAAAATTAAAATTTTAAATATAAAAATTTAATTTAAAATTAATTAAATATTTTAATTTTTTTCATTTTCATTGAACAATTTTAATTACAATCTGTCACAATTATATTAAAAATTATAGCATAAACCTTTAAAAAGTATTTGCGTGTGATTAATTGTATGTATAATGATTTTATATAGTAATAAATTATATAATGATAATGACATTGTATGCTTTTACTATTTATCTAGGCTCGAAATTTTAAGGAATTAAAGAAACTTATTCTATAAAGCAAATTTAAGGAATTATTTCTGAATTTACAGTACGATTTATATAGAAAATATTATGAAATAAACGAAAAATTAAAATTAAAAACTAAAATTGTTTAAAATTATACAACAAATAGATAATTTGACATGCTTTCTGACATTAAAAAACACTATTTTTAATAATATTAATACTTTTTAATAAATTAATTTGGCAATAGTTTATTTTATAAATAAAATCAACCGAAAAAAATGATGTTACTATAATGCAACTAAAGAAACGTAAGAAGCATTTTATAAGGAGAAATTTTAAAGAATTTTTCGCATCAGTGAGTTGTTTTAAAAATTTACTAACCGTTTCATCCTTCTACACATATTTGAAATGGTTGAACAGATTTTTATGATAGTTACTATGAGTAATACTAATCAATTTTCAAGCTCATGGTTTAAGAAAATATCGATTTTTTACACATTTACATTATTAAAGTACAAATTATATTTAATAGTATTTGTAATTAAAAGTCATTTTAATTTAAAAATAGAATATTTTAAATTATATAATAATTTATTAATAATGATTAAAAATAAAGTTCACTTATTCGGATGTTGTGAAATTCAAAATATCGACTTCTACATTGATTAAATGGAATTATCAGGGTGAGAAAGCTAGTGTAGTGGTCCCACCCCTCTAAAAGCCTTAAAAATATAAGAGTAAGAACAAATATTCCATTACTTATCAAGTGAAACTTTAACTTGTACCATTTTCATTGCATTTTTTGTTTTTATAAGGAAGACAAAATTTTGGGGCCTCTTCTTGTCCTGAATCCGGACCGATTTGCCCTGTGGTACTCTCTAGATCTGTGTCTGGGAATCGTAATATATTTCTAATAAATTTTAAATAGGTTATATTTTATGAAAAAAAATGCAATAAAAGCCTGTTTGTTTTAATTTTAAGAATAGAAATCTCCAAGTTAATCTAAAGGTTTTAATCAAAGAAATATCTACTGCAATAAAATAGAGATGTTATCTTTTGATAACATATAACTTTATGTATTCTGTGTTAAGTTAACGTAAGAATTAAATTATTTTTTAAACTGATTTTTACCTACGATAAACGCAATTTACATAATCATTTAATGTGCATTTTGTCTTCAGGATTTCGTGTCATGTGATAAGAAATTCTAACCTTCTTGTAACACGAGACAAATGTATTCTGCTTCTCACATTTCTTAAAATTAATCACAATTCCTAAACTTTTTACTTGTATAAGTAAATTGTAACTAATTATTTATGTAAATAAACATTTTATTGTAATTATAGAGAATGTATTTTATATGTCGTGTAGTTTTTTTTTAATGCATTCAAACCTATTTGCTATATTATTTTATTGTTTTTAATGAAATTGTAGGCATAAAAATTTAGTATGAATCATTGTATAGTATACTAAAAATGCATTTTTATATATATTTAAAATTAATTTACATATGAAATGCTTCACTGATCATCAAACAAGTGATTCAGTATTATTAATTCTTGTAATTTGTAAGCGTAATTAAAATTAAGCGGAGAATATTTCTAGTTTTTTTTTCAAATAATAAAGCTTAGTCATAATGGTCATAATTGGTAATTCAAGTATTTCATACCACTCATCAAGACATCCTCTTAAGTAATTTTTATGAGAATCGATTGTAATGCAATCCTATGCGAGAGCTAAGAATATGGAAAGAAGTTATGGAAACTCCTAGAGGGACATTTTATAATGCGAGTGTGACACAAATGTGAATATGTGAATTAATGAGTTGAATTAAAAAAGTGACTAAAGGAAAAATCGATTTTTGAATTGATTAAGGCAAGGCGAAGAGTGAAGGAAATAACGCATTATTGAAGATCAAGAAGGAAGCTGATAAATGTTTACTTGTATGAAATAGATGAATATTTAAAGAGTAATTATAACAGGCCTTGAGGAGAAAAAGTATACTTTTAAATTAGGGCTATGGCTTGTTACTTTACCCAATAGACCTCTTATGATGACCTTTTCTGTATTTAAGAATTACGAAGATGAATGAAAATAATCATATTTTTTTAAATTCTAAGGTTAATAATTAAATTTTAAAAGAGTTTAAAATTAAATTATTTTCTGGATTTATTTTAAAATTAATTTTAATATTTTTTTCTGTAATTTTTCAATTAAATGCCTTCTACACGAAAAAAATTTTTTATTGATGTCTTCATGTAAAAACACTTACTTGAAATCACTAATCAAAAAATAAATGAGAATTTTAATAAATGTAAAGATTTAAACATTTTTTAATTAATAGTTTTTAAAGTCGTAAAATTTTTTATTACTCAGATTAAAATGTATTTTTAACTTTGAATATTTCTATTTATAATCAAATTTTATTTTGTAACTAAAATTCTGTAATAAGTAAATACTTGTATATGGCATGATATAATTTGTGGATAGTGGGATATCAGAATAGGTTATTATGTTTCGTCATGAAACCAAGAAGATCCCGATCGATGCTCATTTGTTTCACATGCTGCATTCATTTCTATTAAGTCGCACACCATTTTGTTGTAGAATTACTTATCATAAAGTTGTATTTTTCAAGTAATGGATCATGGTTTGTCGCTGTAATATACTAGAATAACATTCAGGAAGAACCTGTAGTATGAAAATATTGGTTATTCCTGGATGATACATTGCATTCAAGTATGCTGGTGAAAGAAATTGGCTATTAGAGAAGGTTGAAAAATATATAATTACAACGTAACATATGTAGCGTGACTTGATTTTGGTCCCATTTTTAAATAGGAATAAAATAAATTATATCTTTCGTAAAAACCGAGAGATATACTTCATCAAACTAATGAATTTTTAATAAAAAGAATATAAAATATATTTAAAAAAATGCATATATATTTTTTCCTAAAACAGAATATTAATCATTCTAAGAGATAAGTAAATTATCCGCTACTTTATCTATTAACGAATGTTAATTGTTTGTTGGAGATTATACAATTACGTTTGAATTAATGTAATTAGCTTAAAGATTGTAATAATTGTAAATGAACTTTTCAACCGACAATTTCAGGATGTCTCACATAATTTGATTGATTTAAAAAATGAAAATTGTAGACTACACTTCTTACATCTGTCAGAATTTAATACAGCTCAACCAATATCATTTGAATATAAATTACTAGAATATCTGATGGGTATGACACTAATAGTTTATTACTTCTAACAGCTTAAAATGTCGACGAAACCTGCCAGTGACGATGTCATCAAGAGCGTCAAAGATATTGATAAAGTATTAGAAGATAAGGCAGATGATAACCAGTCAGAATGTTCCGAGGAAGATAAAGTATACAGAGTCAAACTGACATTTATTCCTGTATTTTTGTTAGAAATTCTTGCGTTAGGATGTTTGGCCATATTAGCATATTTCTTAAGGTAAATATACATGCTTTTTAATATCATTTATAGCAAAATTTACATTAAAAAATTCGTATAAATATTATAAACAAACCATAATATTTAATGAAAGTTAGCACTGAATATATGAAATTTAAATTTCACAATTGATGTAAACGGATAAAAACATTCTTTAAAATTTTATTAATATCAATCGTAAATATATATATGTTATTTTAAAAATAAAATTGTCTTTAAATACAGGATGACCCAAAAGTCAGTTAACCGCGATAGGTGATTGAAAACAATTAAAATCATGTTTGATTCTGTTCAAAACGTAAAATAAAGTTCGTTAACTGATTTTTGGGCCACGTTAAATATCTCTTTTACTTTAATAGTTGTATTTTTTACAGATTTGATTCAAAATTTCCTATAGCCAAATATGGATTTAATCTTTGTGATTATTCAATTTCACTTCCCAAGGATCCATCACAGACTAATTATTCTCTTCCGTTAGATATTCAACCAACAGTATTATATGCATCAGTCTTTGGATTTCCTTTAATTATGGTATGTTAATAATTTTAGATCTTTAAAGCTATCAAATATAAAAACAAAATAGTCTCATAAATTAATTATTAATGGTATTGTATAATATACTAAAAATGCATTTTTATATATATTTAAAATTAATTTACATATGAAATGCTTCACTGATCATCAAACAAGTGATTCAGTATTATTAATTCTTGTAATTTGTAAGCGTAATTAAAATTAAGCGGAGAATATTTCTAGTTTTTTTTTTTTCAAATAATAAAGCTTAGTCATAATGGTCATAATTGGTAATTCAAGTATTTCATACCACTCATCAAGACATCCTCTTAAGTAATTTTTATGAGAATCGATTGTAATGCAATCCTATGCGAGAGCTAAGAATATGGAAAGAAGTTATGGAAACTCCTAGAGGGACATTTTATAATGCGAGTGTGACACAAATGTGAATATGTGAATTAATGAGTTGAATTAAAAAAGTGACTAAAGGAAAAATCGATTTTTGAATTGATTAAGGCAAGGCGAAGAGTGAAGGAAATAACGCATTATTGAAGATCAAGAAGGAAGCTGATAAATGTTTACTTGTATGAAATAGATGAATATTTAAAGAGTAATTATAACAGGCCTTGAGGAGAAAAAGTATACTTTTAAATTAGGGCTATGGCTTGTTACTTTACCCAATAGACCTCTTATGATGACCTTTTCTGTATTTAAGAATTACGAAGATGAATGAAAATAATCATATTTTTTTAAATTCTAAGGNTTGAAAGTAGATTTTAAAAATTTAAACCAATTGTGTTCGGTGATTTTAGATACCGAATATTTAACCAAAGATTTAACGTGCAAGTACTTAGAATCGTTATCATGCTGTAAAATAATTTATTGTTTCTTCAGTGATAGGCTAACATAGGCAATAAATATTGTTTAGTAATGGTAATAAGATACAAATCAGCAATAAGATTTATGTCTATTCAGCAAAAATGAGCCTACATCTTTTGCTGTAATGCACCTCCAAATCATTAAGAAACCTCGTCTATGTTATAGTATCGGCGAATGCATCGATCTTGGAGTGCTCCATGTTTTATTGTACACGATTATATAGTAAATTCATATATTTTGCAGTCAACTTTTATTATGCAGTAAGTAAACATACAAAATGTTATTACAGAAATGACCTTCAAATGTGTCAGATTATTAATAATAAATAATAATATTATTATCCATTTTATGGAAATTTAAGAGTAAATATTCAGAGTTAGCATACAAATAGCTTAGAAACGAAAATTTCCAAATTCACACAAGTATTCAAAACTCCATTAACGTCTAAAACAGAGATCAACACATGTCGCATGATAATGATAACGCGAGGATAATCCTTAAAAAATTATTAAATACAGCTATTTATCAATATATACAGTAGACCCCCGCTTTACGACTGGTAGAAATTTTCTATTATGCCTCTATGGAATGCCTTGTTTTATTGGTCATCTGTGTGAGCTAGTATATACTTAGAACTAGCCCCATGAATAAAATCTCAATGCATGACAATAAAATTATAGGAAATAAAATGGCTCACATAGTCTTTGCTTCTTCGGTTTCAATGAGTTCATTGGTGAGGTAGAACGGTCATACCAGATGTTTTCCAACGATTTTCTAGTCGTAAAGCGGAGATTTAATATATTCGTGAACTTATAATAAGAAAGGAAGGTCAGTACCGGAAAAAAAAATGTATTAAATTCTTTAGTCATTCAGATGATTTTCTTCAAATATCGGGATCTAATTATCCTGTTTATTAACAATTCCTATAAAAAAAAAAAAAAAAACGTGGGAGAAGTATAAGTTTAGCTTTGAAATTCGTATTATTCGTTATTTTAAGACTGAACGTGAATAACATACACGTTAACAGAAATGGCATCTACCTTGTTTACATAAATTTCCCATATTTAACNATAACTAGATATATGGAAATTAGATCATAATATACTCATAAAGTTAATATATATTATAAAATATACTTGTAGTTTCTCATATAAGCTATAAAGAAAAACTATTACTTTTATATAAATAAATATATAACAATATATAGTAATATATCTTATATAAGAATAAGAAAAACAGGAAATATATGTAATAATCACATCTCATTTTTTGTTGTATATATTGTATTGTATATATATATAAAGGAAAAAAATCAATTTTAGAGCATAAATTTAGTGGATTAAATCAAAAGTTTGAATGGATAAAAAATCTTAAGGCAATAAATTACTAAATTTAAATAATTTTTTAATATTTTAATATTTTTATACTTGTTAAGTTATATTATGTATTAATGAACTAAAGAAACATTTTTAATTTTCAAGCAGTTTTTCAACACGATAAATTTAAAACAAAGATAAAAGAATCTACAAATTGCAAATATTAAATGCTTGTAGAATTTTCCTTCGGGTGGTTTATGCATATCTTTTAAAATGAAATTCTGTATAAATCACTGGAAAAAAATAATTAATTCATTGCTCAAACTAGAAAAAACTGTAAAACGAAAACCATTTTCAGTAATGAAAAGTCGTGGATTTTTAATCTTTTTGTTGTTTTATTTGTTGTTAAATGAATTTTAAATTTGTTTTTATAAAAATTAATTTCCAGAATATATTGTTTATATAATAAATGTGTATGATAAGAAGAAAATTAAAATTAATTAACATATTATATTTCAGATCGCTGCTGGAGAATTGCTGTATTTTATTTTTTCCAGCAAACCGAGAAAAGTTATTCGTGCTGGATGTATTCATTGCAAAATGCACAAATTAACGAGAAGGATCATTCGGTTTGCAGGTAAATTTGCTTTAATTTTCTTTCCGTATGCTCTTTTTAATAATGAATCAATGCTTATGATTTTTCCAAATTTGTACGAACAATTAAGTTAAGTTAAATCTTTGAATTACAAATTTATAAATATAAATAGATATGTCTGTATTTAGTCTAAATTTAAAAATAGGTATGCTATTGAAGGATATTCTTGCATGTAGTACAATTGTTATTAAAAATAAATAAATAAAAATCTTGGGAAAACTTATAATCATTTGATAGGAAACCACTTTTTAGAGTTATATACTTTTATATTGATTTCAAAAGTTCCTGGATTGTGTCAAGTATCGTGTCGATTAAATTTCTGTAGAGTGTTCTTCTATGTCAGCCAGAATATTATCTAAATTTGAAAGTAGATTTTAAAAATTTAAACCAATTGTGTTCGGTGATTTTAGATACCAAATATTTAACCAAAGATTTAACGTGCAAGTACTTAGAATCGTTATCATGCTGTAAAATAATTTATTGTTTCTTCAGTGATAGGCTAACATAGGCAATAAATATTGTTTAGTAATGGTAATAAGATACAAATCAGCAATAAGATTTATGTCTATTCAGCAAAAATGAGCCTACATCTTTTGCTGTAATGCACCTCCAAATCATTAAGAAACCTCGTCTATGTTATAGTATCGGCGAATGCATCGATCTTGGAGTGCTCCATCGTTCTTCTTCTGGTAATACTGTCGTCCATCTGATCCAAAGTGGTTAATTTTAGTTTCGTTGAACCATATAACTTCCGTCAGATATGTACTGTCCAACTGCTGTACTTTCCAGCAAATTTCAAGTTCTTCTTTTGTTCGTTTTTGATAGAAGTGGCCGTTTTCTTATCACTCTGCTATTCACTCCATTTCTTTTCCAGCTTCTTATTGTTATTTGATTTACTATTTAAATAACTTGATGCTGTTTAAAATATTATTTTGTCATTCAAACTTGTGTTACATTGACTTATTTCAATTAATAGATCTGAATGCTTAGCATTTGTTTCAGTAAAGAATCTTGAATGGGCATTCATTTAATTCTCTTCATACTTTTGAAACAATTGTTTAATGTTTAAGTTGCATAATGTTTTAATTTATTAATACATTTTTCGTGATTTTTTCTTTCAAAAACATTTAAAAAATGTTTTTAAATTAAACTGTAGTATTATACAATGAGTCATAATGAGTTTCTCTACTCTTCAATAAAAGAATAATGAATTATAGTACTTTTATCTTAATTTAACTTCTTCCAACGTGCTTTATACTTAAAAAGCATTTATTACATATAACAGTGACTCATTTATAACACCCACTGTAATTACCATTACGATAACAAACCATTGAAATAGAAATTTTCGTAAAGTACAATTAACATTAATAAGACAAATTGACTTAACAATTACAAAAGCGTGGTTTAATAATTAAAATAAATAATAATTTGTCAGGCACTTTTCGGATTCTCAATTCGATACGTACAATTAAATTATTTTACGTTGCAACAAAGACTACGTGATGTAACTTTAAATTAGATTTTAAATTAATGAAAATTTAAAAATTGAGTTATAAATTCAATTATATACGTTCTAGATACTTAAATTAATTTTAAGAATATAAAATTAATTTCTTAAAGGTAAAATCCTTAGATAAATCAGAAGATAATTTAAAAATGATTTTAAAGGAATCCTATTTTACAAATGCATACGAATAGAAATGCATTTTCTTTATGCATTCCTACTACATTCAATCCTGTTTATAAGAATGGGATGTAACAATTTATAGAAATGTAATTCATATTAATTAAAGCCATTTATGATTTACTTGAAAAGATTTCGAAGAGAATAATCGTGTATATTTGGTGTTCTCTGCAATTAAATTACCATCTTTAGAATGAGATAATTAATAAAGTGCCGCCTAAATCTATCATTATTCTTTTACATTTAAGGATAATATCATTAGTTTTTAAATATTAAATCGATTTTTTTTTTGGTCGAATTTATTTATAGGGGAAACCGGGGCAAGATCGGCATGTTAAGCTTTACTTAAATTTTGTGTAATAAATACTGCTGTAAACTGAAAAAAAAGCTTTGCATATTGTCTATTGGAATGTTACCTTACTATAGAACTGGTTAAAATCAGTTTGGAAATAAAAATAATTAAAATAATTACAACTTTACAAGAAGAGAGAAATTGACGAAGTTGCCCCGGGTATAGGGGCAAGATCGGCAACTTCTCTCTTTTTGTAAAGTTGTAATTATTTTAATTATTTTTATTAAAGTTG